TGAAGCTGCTTCAAGCGTAGGTGGGTTTTTGTGTTGCTATTGTCTGTGTTTTCTAGCCAGTCTGAGTGCTTCTGTGGTCTGGCACAATGCAGTCTGAATGACGGAGACCTTGAATACTCTAGTGTTAGGTGACACCAGGCAGTGGTGTATGTTACAGAGGGCAGAGGAAATGAGAGGTGTCCTGGGGACGCCATCGTCTATGCTGTGTGCAGAGCCATGAACAAACAGGCCAGAGGCCCGCAGAGATGCCAGGGCAGCATGCAGAATGGGTCACAAGGTAGGGAGGTTGTTAGGGACAATAAAGGGAGGGCCTCTGCTCAGGATGAATGGGAGAAGAGTGAAAATAAAAAGCACCTTGGAGCTAGTTGCAAGGACAGAGAAGAAACTGAAAGTTCCAAGAGAGCAGGCCGTAATGGCTCATACTTGTATTCCCAGTATCTCAGAGGCTGTCACTGGTGGGAGAGCACAATGGACAAATGGAAAATGAACTGGGAGAGTGAGACAGGATTGCGGAGAGTTCAAGGCTACCCTAGGGTACATAGTGACACCCTATCTCAGAAGAAGAGGTAGAGTGGAGAAAAGAAAACTTCAAAAGAATGAATTCAAGCCTAACAAAAGGGGAGAAACACTAGAACAGCAGGGTTTATGAAGGATGCTGAGGAGGCAGTTTCAGCACTGGGGAGAATGGCTGTGCTCAGTGCTCACCCTGTGGTTGGGGTGATGAAACGTACATGGGTTTAAAATATGAACTCGCCGGGCGTTGGTGGCGCACGCCTTTAATCCTAGCACTCAGAGGCAGAGGCAGGCGGATCTCTGTGAGTTCGAGGCCAGCCTGGTCTACAAAGTGAGTTCCAGGACAGCCTCCAAAGCTACAGAGAAACCCTGCCTCGAAAAACCAAAAAAATAAATAAATAAATAAATAAATAAATAAATAAATAAAATATGAACTCAAGGCCTGGGAATGTAGTTCAATGGTGGAGCATGTGCTTAGCAAGTGCAAGGGCCTGGGTTCCATCTCCAGGACCACAGAAAGAAAAACTAAAGTCCTGATTCTATAGAGGGGTTTCTGTCTTCCTTGAGTACGTAGATCCCTTTGATGACAGGCTCAGTCCCAAGAGCAGCGACCTCCCTGTGCCTGTCGCTTCTGGGTATTCTTCTGCCTGTGTGCCCTTATCTCCAGCCCAGAGCCCACACACCCTTTCCTTTGCTCCCGAAACCCACCTCGCCCTGGACACCCTTCCTCCATGCCCACTCGAGCCACCTGGCATGTCACTCCCCCAGTTCCCTTTCCGTTTGTTCACATGCTCTCCTACCAAGCTGCCATCTCCAGGATCAAGATCCTATGCCAGAGCATCTACAACGGCACCCACTCCGTGTTCAGTTAACAGTTGCTGAGTGAATAGACATTTCAGTGACTGAAGTTGAAGCTAATTGACTAAAAGCAAGCGATACTGAAACTAGTTTAAATTTAAGCACAAAGAGCAGAGGGAAGTTAAGTAATGAATGCTGGGATGGGAAGTAAGACAGTTCCCAGCCTCCTGTGAATTCTATAAACCCTACACTCCCTGCTGATGGAGTTTCCTTTTTTGGGGGGAGGAGTCAGTTTCTTCCCCTTCCTGGGGCCTTCTTTTCTCCTGAGGCACATGGGACCTCAGAGAATTAGGGCCCAGACTGAGACGCTGCTGTTCTTTAGATACCTGACTGGGGTGAAGTGACAGACAGGGACAAGAGCAGAGGGCCTGCTTCACTTATAGATATACCTGTGCTGACCAAGATGAGTGATGGAGGCCCAGAAAGGGGATAGAGAGCCAGGCTCAGAACCATTGGGGTAGCCAAGCGGCTGGCTGCAAGAGTGCTTAGGACACGTGTGGTTTTCTCATTCCATGTCACCGGTGCCGGGAGCATAGCCCTGAAAAACAGCTTCTTCCATGACACAGATGGAAAAGTCACTTTTATTTTAGGCCAGATACCATTTTTCCTTTCATAGCATCCATTCCATCCCAGGAGAGCCACTCAAAGGGCCGCCTCCAGTCCTGTCCTCTGGCAGAGCCCAGCTGCCCACGCTGGCATTTGAAAAGCCCCAGTGCCCGAGTACTACTACTCTGGGAGTCACCTAAAATGACTGCCTTCTGTGTGGAGAAGGAGATAGAGAGACAGAGCCTGGAGGCTCCGAGTCTGCATTTTTTATGTGTCAGCCCTCCAGAAATCCCTCATTTGGGACACAGAGCTGAGGAAAAGCTGAGCGCATGGCCTACTTAGGAAGCCTTAATTACGGGCTCTGGGTGGTATTTTCCTGTCATCCAAGAATTTCCAGGACTGTTGATGGGGACTGATTTATCCCGACATCTGGGCCCCCTTGCTTTGAAACTGTGCTGACACCTCAGATCTGATTGGACTGTGTTGGGGAATTATAACTGCGTGGCTCCAAGGTCCAAGCTCAACTCTGCTGCCCTCAGAGGGATTTTAGAGCCCTGAGCACCTGTGTGGGCTGAGGTGGGGCAGCACACAACCCCTTAGGGCTCTGAGGGCCTGGCAGGATGTTCCAGCCCAGCAGGGCCTCGCCCTAGGTCCATTCTCTTCCCCTCTCTGGAAAGTTCATGCTCCCGCCCACGTGTGCTGCATGTACGTGCAGAGGTCCCCGGAGGCCCAGGTAAACAGAGCTCTGGCGAACGGACTTGCATTGTCTTTTGGAGTCTTTACTCTTCCCAGTTTGTGAGGAGGTTGAGGGCTGTCATTACCACTCTCTGACTTGTTAGGTTGTGGAAAAGCTGTTGTTTTTCTCCCTCTAGGAGTCTAATTACTTATTTGGTTAGTCCCAGCCCGTATACATTTCTAAGGAGAAAGACACCCTATGCCTGCAGAAGCAGTGACCTTGGCTAGTTTTCAGAGACCCTGGGTCCAGTCAGTGCTGTCTGTCAGCACCGCAGATGGTGTAACCTGAAGAAACTTCTCTCCACAAGTTTAGCTACCAGAGCCTTGCATGGCTCTTGTGGAAGGAGGCTCCCTTTCCCTGCCCTGAAGACCCTGCCGTTTCCCCTTTCCTGTGGCCTGCCTTGTTTCTGATCTTGTCATGGCTCTGCCTCTTCTGGGGGGGTCCCTCCCTCACCATTATCTGTGGCCATGCCTCACTCACCCCCCCCCCCCCCGCAATCATCTCCCCCCACCCCTGGGCAGCTTCAGTTTCATTTCCCTTTTGGGTTTTGTTTTGTTTTGTTTTATCTTTTCATTACCTTGTTCTTTCTTTATTTGCATGTATATTTGTGTGAGTGTGCTCATGCCATGGCTTAGGTGTGGAGGTCAGGGGACAGCTTGTGGAAACTGGCTCTCTCCTTCCACTGAGTGGGTCTTTGGGACCAGGCTTAGCTGCAGACACCTTCACCTGTGCCCCCACCTTGCCTGCCCTCTGTTTTTTTTTTTAACTCTTTTTTTTAATTTTAAAATTAAATTAGAAACAAGGTTGCTTCACATGTCAGTTCCAGGTCCCTCCCCTTTCCCTCCCCTCCTCCCACGCCCTCCCACCAACCCCCCCAATACCCCCTCATTTCCCCAGGGAGGGTGAGGCCCTCCATGGGGGTGTCCATAGTCTGTCATTTCATCCAGGGCAGGGCCTAGACCCTCCTGTTTTTGTTTGTTAAGACTGTCTTATTTGTAGACCAGGCTGAGCTGGAAACTTCCATGGTCTTCCTGCGTCTGCCTCCGCCGAGTGAGTGCGGGGCTGCAGGTACAGGAACGGAGGGCACCGCACACCCGCACACCCGATATGCTCTGTACCTCGTAACTGCTCGCTGCTCGCATTTCTGTAGGAACCCTGGGCCTTTGTTATCTTCCTGGCTTCTCTCCTTGGACTTGTGCTACCAGAGGACAGAGGATGAGGGCTCCCCTGGGTAACTTTTCACCTTGGGTGGGACACTCACCCTCCCGTGATACTCAAATGTCTTAGCCCAGCTCCAAGGTCTTGAGTCAACATTTGAGAACACCTGTGGCTTTCCACCCAGTCTGCTCAGCTCTCAGCTGTTACAGCTTCCTTCTTACCTGTGAACTGCTTAGTCATGCTCTGTTTTAGAGTCCGTTCATTCATTCATTCATTCATTCATTCATTCGGTTTCTTCCATGCTGACAGCTCCTAGGCCCTGGAAGCATATGCAGATGTGGCCCTTCCCCTACAGTATTTCTAATTTTATTTTTATTTTTTGAGAGATGGTCTCATTTCTGCAGTCATGACTGACCTGAGAGTCACAGCAATCCTCCTGCCTCCTCAAGTGGTAGGATTACAGAAATGAGCCAGCACAAATTTGTATACTGTTGGAGAGAGGCAGACCAGAAACAAGTAAACTAACAGATAAGATAATACAGAGAATGCTAACAGGGCAGAGACAGGACCTCGGCCTCCCAGTGAGGGTGTGAGGGGCCAAGGGGCAGAGAGGCCTGTGGAACGGGTGATTGCTCGGCAGCACTGGTCAGTCATGTCTTATTGTTGTTTTTGGAACATGTCCTTTAACAGTCTGACAGGAGAAAACCCTGAGGATACAGATTTTTCCCTCTGTTGATGTGGACTGAAAAGGAGGCAAGGAGCCTCTTGGGGAACAGTGGCCCCTGAAGTCTACAGAGGTCTCAGCAACTGTGCCAGTGGGGCAGCATGGGCATGAAACCACATCAGCCTTTGTGTCAGGGAGCAGGAGGACGCTGCACCTGTGTCTCCTGAATCTTGCCTCACTTGGCTCTGAGCACCTGAACCCAGCAGGAGACAAGGGACAGTCAGGCACGGCCGTCCTGGTGTGAGGGGACAAGGGACAGTCAGGCATGGCCGTCCTCTGGCCTTTGTGCTTCAGGGCAGTGCATACCTTCAGGAGGACCAACGAGCCCCTGGAGTCCCAGGAGTCCCTGAAAAGCACGAAGCACCTGTTGCTTCACTTGTGCAGCTAATGCTCCTGGTGCTAGGACATGGGGAGACTGCTGGCCTGGACACCCCAGTCTTAACTCTGCCTCCTTTGTCTCGACAGATGAAGCCATGTGCTTGTGGTGTCCTTCACTACAAGAGGTCAAGGAGGTGTTCCACAGCCTGGGAGCCTACAACCCTGCCCTGTATCCGCAGGGGCCCTTCCAGCACAGCCCAAGGTGTGTAGGTCCCCTTCCTCATGCTGCCTTCTCTGCTTTACAGGTGACTCTACAAGGTACGAGCTGCTGCACAAGCACACACAGCTACCCTGGAGAACAAACTGTGACCTTCTGGCCTTAGAGCTCAGGAGTGCCCAGACAACCAGGGTGGAAGAGTTCTGCCACTTACTCAGACCCTGCCCCCCTCCCACGGGTGGATCCCAGACTTTTCAGCCTAGTTTGTACCTTCCCCTGGCAGCCTCCAGTCTCTCTCTCTTCAGATCTGTTTGACCAGTTCTTATAGGAGCCTCTGGCCAGCCAAACTCAGTTTTCTGTTGTTGTTGGGCTGGGAGAGGATTGTGTGTTTGTTTGAGTGTTTTGAGATAGGGTCTCATACCTTTTAGGCAGGCCTCAAACTCTAAGTGCAGGACATTAAACCCAAGGCTTCCTGAATGCTAGCCAGGCACTGTACTAACTGAGCTACATCCTAGACTATTTTTAAAGACAGAGTCTTGACATATAACCCTAGCTGGCTAGAATTTTCTATGTATACAGGCTGGCCTTGAACTCAAGGCTACTTTCCTGCCTTTGCCTTCTAGAGTGCTGGGATTGCAGGTCCACACCAGTGCATCTGCCTTAAAATGGAAAACACTTGTATATCCTTTAGTCCCAGGAGGCAGAGGCAGGCAGGTCTTTGTGAGTTCAAGGCCAGCCTGATCTCCATGAGGAGGTACCGACGAGACAAAGGTACAGGAACTACACAGTAAGACTGTCTCAAAATTCCAATTTGTATCTGTAAAAAAGAAGAGAGACAGACAGAGAGAGAGAGAGAGAGAGAGAGAGAGAGAGAGAGAGAGAGAGAGAGAGAGAGAGAGAGAGAGAGAGGAAAAAAAGAAGGGAAGAAAGGAAAACTCCCTTTACCGATGTCCTCGTGCCTGCTAGACAAACTACCAGCTGAGCTATACCCCAGCACCAAGCACTATTTTGCATATGGTTTCACTAGGTTCTATTTTGCATGAGTCTTTTTTTTTTCTTTTTTGGTTTTTTGAGACAGGGTTTCTCTGTGTAGCTTTGGAGCCTGTCATGGAACTCACTCTGTAGACCAGGATAGCTTTGAACTCACAGAAATCCACCTGCCTCTGTCTCCATAGTGCTGGGATTAAAGGCGTGCGCCACCAACATCCGGCTGCATGAGTCCATTTTGTGACTGTCCTGAGCTTGGTGATGATAGGGACAGTGACTCTAATTGTGTGAGCACATCCCTGCCCTCTAGGGACAGAGCCACACAAATCATAAATGACTATTGTTGGGAAGGCGATGACTAGATAGAGGCTATAAAAGTGTTATATTGTTCTCCAAATCACAGCATATCCCAACTTCCCTGAAAACTCTTTGAGATATCCCCACCCTGCATCCGGCAGCAGTCCCTCCATCAGGCAGAGCTGGGACCCTTTCTTTAGCTGCCGGATGTTCCTCTGCAGGGAAAGCAGGAGCTTTCTTAAGAACCTGTTCCACCACTGTGTTTAGTAATTGTCTGCCAAACCCAGCCACACTTGGCTCTGCTATAAATACCCCACGCATGTGCCAGCCTGCCACGCTCCTGCCCCTTTCCCTTCTGGAGTGCAGTGCTCCATGTCGGGTGTAATAAGCCTCTTGATGCTTTCTAACACCCCCTGCTGTGTCTTGGATGAGTGGGGGAGTTCGAATTACCCAGAAAAAGCAAAGAATTCCAGAGGAAGGGCTTCCTGGTGGGGGGGATCGATAAGCCACTTGTGACACACAGGCTTTGGTGAGTCCCCAGTCCACCTGGGAGACTGGAAATACACTGGAGACTTCCCCTCCCAGGTTATATGCAACTTTGCTCTTCCCAGAGGCATCCAAACTGTGGCCTTTAAACGCATCTCCAGTCTTCCATGCACATATGTTAGCACACAGACTTCAGCTTGAACAGGTACCAGGAAGCCTCAAATTGGAAGAGAGACATCGTGCCACATGGTCTCACTCCTACTCCTAGGCATGCCTTTCGCGCCCCCCCCCTCCTTTAATAGGCCCTGGACATTGGCATAGCCATTAACTGTGTTGCCCAGGGAGGATTCAGAGTGGGCCTGGAGGCCCCATCAATGGCCACGGGTGTTTTTTTTTTTTTTCTTGTAGCTTGTAAGAGCAGCCCGGGGACCACCTACCAAGTCCCTGGAACTGGAGAGATTTTTCTACATGCATTCATTCTCCTTCCTGCGTCTTTCCTGGAGCCAGTGGGTGTGAAGATAGCTGCTCAGGGCGGTTTCTTGGGTTGCTGTAAAGTGGCTGCTACACTTGAGGATGCTCTGGATATCATTATGGGGCTGAAAGACAACTCCTGCAGGTGTTCAGGAAGCATCCAGCTAGTCCAGCATTCTTTCACCATGGGTACACATGTTGAGGAACAGACAAGAGAAATGCTAGAGCAGGCCACCTTTGTCCCATGGTCCTCTTTGTCCTTGTTCTTGGCAACTCTTAGATGCTGGTATTGTGCCATCTGTTCATACTGGGTTTTCTCATCCTTATTGGCTTCTAGGTATGTTACTACCTAGTACTCCCTCTGGCGGCACCCCCAGAGTCTTATAACAGCTTAGGCTGGAAGGGCTGAAATGCCTCTGTACACAGCTGCACAACTGAACAGATGGCACAATACCAGCAGGCAAGGTACACAACTCAGACACAACACACACAGGCTTCCTCTGTGTTCCCTTTGGCAACTGCACCATGCAAATCATAGGTCAGAAAGTGGGAGGATTTGGGACTGGAAGGGCAGAAGAGAAGTCAGTGTGTGGCTATAACTAGAAAACAGGCGTTGGAGCATCAGCATCCTTGCAAGAGGCTGGGCCTTGTCCCATCTGCCCTGGGAACAACAGGGAGGCCCTTTTGTAGCTGTGATCCTCCAGTGCAGCCTCTTGATGGCAAAACTGTCACTTGTCTTTGATTAAAAACCACCTAAAGGGGGAGGGGACATTTATTTGGACTCACCATTTCAGAGGGTTTTGTCTAAGGTCAGCTGTCTTCATCACTTTTAGTGGCAAGGCAGAGTGCCCGATGCAGGACACATGCTCAGCTGGGGTGGGGACAGGCTATACCCTTGAAAATCATGCCCCATGACTGCTTCCTGCAGCCACACCTCATCTCCTATAGCCCTCAACTAGGAACTCACCAGTTCATGAAGTTAGCACTCTCATGAGGACTGAACCTTCAGCACAGGATCGTTTGGGGGGACAGTTCTTATCCCAACTGCAACAAAAGACCAGCTGAAGGGGTTGCCTAAGATACATGGATCTAGACCTTCTAGAGCATTCTACTACTGTTTTCTGGAGTCAGGAGTTGTGGTCCACTTGGTTCTCAGACAGGACATCCTCTTGCAGACACCAGCAGGTAAATATATGACAACACACAGAAAGACCATCCTGTCCAGCACTGGGGTAGTGGGTAACTGCCTTCAATGATGTAATTGGATCCAGGAGTGATTTGCATACACACACACACACACACACACACCCTCATTGGTTCAGCAAGGACTGCTCTGCATGTAAGGAGATGCCAATTCCAGTTTGTACAAACTGTAGCAGGACTCACTGCTTGAAACCAGATTGTAATGAGTCATTCTGTATCTCACCAGCCAGCTCCCCAATAACAACAAGGAGACTTATTATTAATTATGAAAGCTTGGCTTAGCTTACGCTTGTTTTTAACTAGCTCATAACTTAAATTAACCCATTAATCTATGTTCTGTCATGTACTGCCCATCCTGCTGCTTCTGTGTCTCCTGGCATCTATCCTGTGCCTAGATTCATCTCCTACTTCTTTGATTCCCAGGAAATCCTGTTTGTACTTCCTGCCTAGCTGTGGACTGTTTAGCTTTGTATTACACAAATCACAGCATTATACCTTCACACAGTGTACAAATATCCCACAGTGTTTCTCCCATTTTCTCTAAATAAAAGGGAAAAGTTTTCACTCTAACATAGTAAAACTATATACAATAAGAACAATTATCAGGTAAAAATTACATTCACAGTGTCCACTCCACTTGTATTTGGCAAACTCAAAGAAAGTGCTTTATTATTTGTCCTATCTTAGTGAGTCCAAAGTTTTATACCTAAACCATTTTCTTTTTTTTTTTCTTTCTTTCTTTTTTTTTTGTTTTATGAGACAGGGTTTCTCTGTGTTGTTTTGGAGGCTGTCGGTCCAGCCCGGCCTTGAACTCACAGAAATCCGCCTGCCTCTGCCTCCAGAGTGCTGGGATTAAAGGCGTGCGCCACCACCGCCCGGCCGCTATACCACTTTCTATCATAACTTGCATTAGCATCCTAAAAACATTTTAGACCTTAAAACACCTTAGATAAAAAACTTAAGCTTTTATGTTTCTCAACCTTATGAACTTTAAATGTCTTATGTAAGTTTTTTTCTGAATTTGGTAACAAGAAAACCTGTAACTACAACTGTTTCATCTTCAACTCCATCAGAGACCTGAGAAGGATATAATATTACCTGAGTAAACAGGAAGTGCAGAGCAAAAATTCCAAAACTGTGGAAATGATGGAAATAACCAGCTGCCTGGACAGTCACCCAAGGTTCTTCTGCAATGTTGAGGCATCCATTTTTAGCCTAAAGGCCTAGAATATGGGACAGACTTCTTTGTGAAGTAGGAATTTTTGAAGGACTGTCCTATCTTGTCTTGTCAAAGTTTGGCAATTGCCTTCTTTTGTGTCCTTTTTGTCCAATTTGGACAGCATACTGTCAGCAGTCGAGGCAAGGGTAGTTTCTTGTTAAATAGCTAACTACTAACCTGATTAATTAATTTATTATGTACAGTGTTCTTCCTGCATGTATGCATGCAGACCAGAAGAGGGCACTTGATCTCATTATAGGTGGTTATGAGCCATCATGTGGTTGCTGGAAGTTAAACTCAGGACCTCTGCAAGAGGAGCCATCTCTCCAGCCTAACCTGTATTTCTTAATTATCCTAAATAGTTTATAATAATAACTTTCAA